TCTGCCCTCGTTTCTGAGTTTTTTTTTTTTTTTTCTTTTCCCCCCTAAGGGTGGTGACCAAAGCAAACTAGGAGATTGACCGGGACAACAGTTAAAAGTAGATGACGTTCAACTGTTGAGCGTTTTAAGGTCATTGAACTACCCGACGGTGTCCTACGTTTACTGTGTCTCACGAAATTCACCAAGACAGTTTTTGGCGATTGCATGAATCTTCCAGTGTCAGAAGCCACAGCAAGAACCAGAACTTTTTTATACAGCCAGCAACTAATCAGAAGGGCGTTTCTGTTTCCGCCAGCTGTTGCACCAACTAAACTGTCTTGGTGAGATGTGACTAGGAGAACATCATTAGACAGAACTCCACTGTCCTGTTTAATGACCGTGACAAAGCGATACACTGCTCTTCTAGCCAAGCTCCCAAGTATAAATTCCTTCTGTCCTGGCAGTTCAGTGGTTCCTTTTTAAAAGAATACAGAATTGGGGACCTGTTGACATGATGGCTCACCAGCTAGAAGGTTCTTGCTAACAAGGCAGATAACCCACATTGTGGGAAGAGGGAATCACTCTGGCATGTCGTCTTCTGACCACCCCTGGTACGTGTGCACTTATACACAGGCATACATACATAAAAATAATACTAATAAAGAAAAATACAGAATTGGACATGAGGAAAAATGGACCCTGCTATTCAGGAGGTCGAAGTATATTTTGTACCTCAAAACTGGACGGGCATAACTTTCTCAGTTGAAATCTGGAAATGTAAAACCATAGTCTATGAAGAAGGAACAGTATTAATAGGTCAGCCTTGGGCTGCATACTTGTAATGAAACGTAACACATGGGACTGGGGCAGCTTGAAACCCAGAAACAAAGTACCTAGTAGACGCACAAATCTGTTACCTGAACACATTTTTTTCCGTTCATAAATCATCACTTCACACAGAAATTTCCACTTAGCTGGCTATGAGATCAACCAATAGCTTTTTCATAGCATAAGCACTTACCTATTGGCATAAAACCATATATCCCTGAATAGGAGGGGAAAGGGGAAGCTGAATGAGGAGAGAAATATAGTCAGAGCTTTCCTGACTAAACACTGCCTAAAGTGAGATGAGTTAGCACTTTTAAACAGGAAGGTAAGCTGGGCGTTGGTGGTGCACGCCTTTTAGCCCAGCACTGGAGAGGCAGAGGCAGGCAAATCTCTGTGAGTTCGAGGCCAGCCTGGTCTCCAGAGCAAGTGCTAGGATAGGCTCCAAAGCTACACAGAGAAACCCTGTCTCAAAAAAAAAAAAAAAAAAAAAAAAGGAAGGTATCACCCACACACTCCCATTCTTACCTACTCCAGGTGTCTCTACTGGGGAGTTTCTCACACTGAAGTTGGTATGAATCACCTATGTAGCTTTGTGAAAATGTGCATGGTGAGTTTGGGGTCCATTTACCAGAATTCATTTTGAACTACTTCCAGATTTTACATCATTGGAATAGCTAAACTCTGCACTGTAAGTCAAATATTGCCATTAACAGTTTAAATGGCATGCCATTTCACTTGGAGTGAAATATAAACTTGCCTTGCCTTAAAACATTTATGCAATCTGGATTTACTGCTGTTATTATCCAGTTTTCTTGTACTGAAGTGGCATGGACTTTCCTGGAACTGGCAGAACTCTGTGACCGCTAAAGGTGCTATTTTGTCTGTTGGGAATTCTCTTCTATGGGTTCTCTGTGCCTACTTTTTTTCCAGCCATCACTCAGTGTCCCGCGCGCTCTGTATTTCTCGCCAGCAAGAAATCATACACGGGACACTCGGATCCTTCTGCAGACAAGCTTTAATGCATCTTGAGAGTGAAAGAGCATAAGCTTCCCAGAGCGGAGACTGAGCGGAGACACTAAACCAAGAAAACCATCCCTTATAAAGGCTGGCCAGCCGCCTGGGACGTGTTACCCTATGAATGGCTTCAGCTCCTCAGGCCAAAATGAGCCACGGGATAGGCAGAGATCAAAGGAATGGAAATTACCCAGCGCCTGTGAAGTAATTTACATCTTGGTGTCTTCAGGCACCTATTATTGTAATGGATAATGTAGGAACCGGCTTCCTACAACTCAGGTTTCATTACAAATGCTAGCTCGTCTCAGAATCCCTTAATTCTTTCTGAATAGACTATTTCAGCCCTTCTCGTCTATGCAACAGTGAACACAATTTATTAATCTTTAAAATGTTAGCTCCACAAGATCAGGAACCTAGTCTACCTCAAGTTCCATATGCCAGCCCCTTGCCCACATAGTGCAGCTAAATGGGACCTTAAGTCCCGAGTCATAAGTGTCACATTCTCGTGAAGCAAGAGTACCAGAATTAATATTGATCAGATGCACCTATTTCAGTTCAAGTGTTCGAGGAATGTCATTTGGTACTGACATTTATGTTGTACTGCAATAAGAAGCCGCCATAGAGGAAGAGCATTCCAGGCAAAGAGTTTCTGAAATGGGGAATTGAGCAGCTCAGGTAAGACAGTAAGGGGAAAGGGAAGGAGTGAAAAGAAACTAGTATGCATGCTGTCCGAGGAAACAGGAGAGTGCCAGGAAGTGAATTACTGCAGGAAACATGTTTGATCTTGTAGAGCCTGTGATTAGAGGAATTTGAGCAGGAAACTAGACAGATGATACCTAGTTCCTGAACTGTTTCCTTCAGCTGTTTAATTGTATTTTCTTGGCTTTTTTGGCTTTCCTTGATTTCTTGCATCTTTTGGTTTGTCTTTTCTTCTATTTCTCTGAAGGATTTTCCAATTTCCTCTCTTAGGTTCTCTATCATCTGCATGAAGTAGTTTTTAAGGTGGTTTTCTTCTGCTTCTTCTGTGTTGAGATGTTCATGTCTTGCTGGTGTAGAGTCCCTAGACTCTGGTGGTGTCATATTGGTTTTCCTGTTGTTGGATGTGTTCTTATATTGTCGTCTTCCCATCTCTTCTTCCAGTGGGTACAGTTGGTGTCACTTCCTTTCCTGGTGTGTATGGGTCTTGTGTTCTCTTCAGGTGTGTGCAGTTGACTTTGATACTCTGATGGATTTCAAGTTGGGTGCAGGCAGGTCTGAGGCACTCGCTCTCCAGGTGGGTGAGAGCAGCACTGGCACACAGATGTCAGCAGACTCTGGGTTGCTTGGTCCTCAGGGGTCGAGTCGTCCTGTCGAAGATCCCGGGGCAGGGTTTGCCAGGGTGGGCAAATAGATGGAAGTTAGACCCAAGGCTCGGGCTGAAGCAGCTCACCTCTGCACTTTCTGCACTCTGTGGGGGCCAGAATAGCCCAGCGATCTCAGCAGAGTCAGGATCCCCTGGTCCTCAGGGACTGAGTCAGTCTGCCTGCAGATCCTGGGGCCAAAACAATCTTATTTTATATATCCATTCCAGTTCCCTCTCCCTCTCATCCTGCCATGCCCCCCACCAACATCATCCCATCCCTCTTCTGCTCTGTCGAAAGTGTGGGGCCTTCCATGGGGGATCATCAAAGTCTGCAACATAATTTGGGGGAGAGCCTAGGCTGAGAGAGTATCCCTCTTTGGGTAATGGCCTCCAAGGTTCATTTGTACACCAGGGATAAATAATAATCTGCTACCAGAGGTCCTATAAACTGCCCAAATCTTCTAACTGATACCCACATTCAGGGGGCCTGGATCTGTCCTATGCTGGTTTCCAACCTGTCAGTCTGGAGTCCATGAGCTCCCCCTTGTTCAGGTCAGCTGTTTCTGTGGGTTTCTCCAACCTGGTCTTGACCCCTTTGCTCATCACTCCTCCCTCTTCCCATATCCTTTCTTCTAATCTGCACCTGACTCAACTTTTCTGCTCCCTCATGACCTCTGCATTCTTCCTTTTCTTCCCTTCTCAT